AGCACCTTAAGCGAAAGCACCTCCATGAAGTCCATGAAGAAATGGGTTGACATCCATGACACTTCATTCAATGGAAGCGGCTTCAAAGCTCCCATTTTTACGAATGATGACAATTGCCTACTCTCGCTGAAGAATGAGTTTACCTCATATGTGGAAAAATACGGAAGAGTTCTATCAGATCAGTGAGTGCTGGCTTCACCAACCAGATGTACGAAGCCTTGCTTTTTACAACAAAGTCGACGGTGGAAACAACAGAATTCCTCCTTGAGCAAGGCGTCAGTTTTGTCCTGACAAAGAAATTGAACAGCGACCCCATCGAAGCAATCTTCAGAAGGGTGCGGTCAATGTGCGGCGGGAGTGACATGCTGGATGCTAGAGCGGTCACCGTTGCTCTGGACCACATCGTTAAGTTGCACATCCCAAGACCGAAAGAAATCAAGTTATCAAATGTGGAAGTTGAGGAAGCGGCTGAGATGATATTGAATATAATTGATAAGGACCTGAGGTCTTTGTTGGAGTACGGAGCTTGTCCGTCTCCATCTATCACATTCTTTGGCTTAGCATACCTCGGCAGGTACATCGCCAAGCTTAATACAGACCTCGGATGCGGCTCTTGCGTTGCGCTACTGACGACCAACAACAAGCAGCATCAGCTGTACAAGCTACCACACTACCCGAGGCCTGAGTTTCCAGCTATTTTGGACAAGATAGCGGTCTTTTTCGATAAGGCCTTTGAACATTTGCCACGCAGAAATGTGCTAGAAGTTTTGCAAACAGCAATTCAGCCCTACTTGCAACGCGCTACCATCTTAAGCTGCCCTGAAAGCATTGACGACAGCCACTCTCGACTATGCAGATCTCATAGCCAAAAAATTCCTAAGAATTCCCCTCGTCAACCACACCAACCAACTGACTGACGCAAACGACAAGCCTTCCACCTACACACACAAGCCGACTAAAAAGCATTTTAGGCTGTGAACAAGACATTTGTAAAGTCCGGGAAAGTTTTTCACTTGAAAGTGCTCAACTATTGCCAGGGCTTATGAGCACTAAATATTTATTTTCGAACCTCAGAATGTCTACACGTTTGATGGCGGAGAGCTGTACTTCGGGCTCTTACATTTTTCAATAAACTTAACCTCAATACACCTGACGCAAATAAGAAGTCAAAACAAACCATTTCTGTGTCTTCAACTATTAGGCAACTTGTTTTTCAACGCGGGGTAAATGGAGAAGCGTGCCCGAACTCATGTGTTCGCGTGCTGTACAAAACGGCGGAAAATAGCAGAGTAGCAGCGCCCCCCTCAAAGAGTGGTGAGAGGCATGTACTACAGCCATTGCGAAGGCCGTAAGAAGGGAGCACGCAGGTGCAGTCTAGCCCGGCCGGGCTCGTGGTGAGTAGAGCGTTGGCGGCGCTGCATATACATTATCTTGTTTGTTGTTATGTTTATTGAGAGTATTGGAATATTGTGTAAGGTTGTTTTCGTGTCTTATTCACTAGTGATGTATTCGAGTTGGCTGATGAAATTGTCTATGTAAAAGTAATTGAATAAATGTGTTCTTTGGTTCGGGTCTGACTGCGCCTACTGTGTCCGTGTATCGTGAAAGCGGTGGCTCTCATTCCGAGACCTCACAAAATTCTTTACTTATTTGTCATAAAAGCAGTGTAGGAAGTGCTTGCCATCACCCTACTTTGTTCACAATGTAACTGCAGTGCAAGACCCCTATGTTCAACACGGAAGGCTTCAGCGCTCTTCTCTTGTTATGTACCACCACCACCAACATCACCACAATGCTAAAGGTTCTTGTACTGTGCGTGTCTGTGCGTGCTATGAAAGAATGCCAGATGGTCAAAATATCCAGAGCCCTCCCTTGTAATCATGTTACGGTTTTCGAACATTAAACCCTAGATATTATCAATTACCAACACCACCACATGCGCATGGTGTTTTTCTTGCCGGAAACTGATTATTCATTCATTACAATGCTGCAGATGAGTTTTATGCCATCATGCATACCGTGGCTGAAAGCTCCTCTTTTTCAGTGACTTCTGTCGTGTCTTTGGCATTACACATACATTGCATCGAGTCAAAACGAAGCTACCTCTGCATCTGCTGTGGATGAAACGATGGTCGCTAACAATGCGATCGTGGGCAGCACTTTCGCAGTTTGAAAGGCACGTGTGCGGCCTACACCCACAGAGTTGAAACAAAATTTTTGAGCAATGAAGCCAAAGTATAAAAAACCTCAATGCACTCTCACTGATAGGAACTACGCAGTGCAGACAAAGAAAGTAGAAACTACTGCTTGTTTCAGCTGCTGCTGATGAGACCGCAGTTTCTGGATACACGATCATAGATAGTGCCCACACAATTAACAAATTCGTGACGAAAGTTGAAGCCTAGTTTGCCTACAACGCAAGTGTAAATGGCCGCTCCACCTTTTTGAAGGCCTGTTTCCAACACTGTTACAGGAAGTGACTAATGTAAATAGCCGTCAAGCGTTCTGCTTTTCCTGTCATTAAGTGTCTCTGCGAAACTTATCCAAGCAATTTCCAGTGGCTCACTAAAATGTCTAGAATCCGTCAAGTACGAGTGGAGAATTCGCTGCACAGCTTTGAGTGCTTTTTGTCTTTTTGTACCAGCGAGCTCACCGAAATCAACATAGGGAGGGGTATGTTAAGGGAGCATACCATGCGCCCCTCTGTCAACACACCTTTATGTATTTGTCCGTGCACTTTGCATTTACCGTAATATGCCGAGCGCCCCTTGCTCTTTTTTTAGGACATTTGAAAGATGAGTCAGTGACTGAGCCCCTCCTGTCTTTGCAACTGCCACTTTTTTTGTTTAAACCTGCTTTCGATACAGAATCCTGCTGCAGTGATTCCTAGGATTGCAAGTTCTGAAGGTTTTTAAATATGTGCTCTATTCCTTATTGCTTTTACAGTGTGTTGCCTTGGGGTCGCATTTTGAGTAGTCAAATTGTCAGAAGATTTGAAGCATGCCTCTGTTTCAGTAAAAAAAAAAAGCAAATAATGCATGTGTATTCAAAACATTTTGGCGTGCACACAGTGGACGGGAAAACGGAAGGCAAAAACGCAAACAAATGCCTTTCTTCATCTACTGTGTGCGCGCTGAAACGTTTCCAAGAATGTTATCAGACGAACTCGCCCAACTTTCCCTACTATTACAAATGCATGTGTATTCAATAAAGCATTTCATTAAAAGAACAGGTGTGCATTTGTTATTGTGGATCTTCAGCTGCCATCTTGAATTTTAGTCCGAGCAAGGGCTCCCTACAAATCTTGTCCAGTCATCTTTCCCCGCAGGGCGGGCACTAGCTCAGGACTTTTGAAGAAAACGTAAGAGGCTGGACAGGTGGACCCATCTGACGGTTCTAAGATGAACCCAGCAAGCACAGAATTATTATTGCAGAAACCTAGTGCGTTGTACTTCACTGCTGGTGTGTTCTGTTGGTAGTGGCATGATTTCAGATGTGTTACCTTTGAGACATTTATTCATGGGAAACAGAGAAATGTGTCAGTAATAGTGGTCGTCTAAAGCTACAGAAGCTGTATGTGCTATTGTCTGGTAACCCAATACTCCACAAATACTTTTGCACATACCTTGAACATCTAAATTCTGTGTTAGAAAATTGCAGCAAGTGTTGAAAGCATCTGGGCAGTTGCTTGCATGTGTGTGCAGACAATGCAGCTGTGTGTACATGACAGGTTTGAGGCCCACATTATGATGCTACCTAAATGATAACTTCACTGTCCAACTTAGCACCCGGAAACGATACGTTAATAATGGAAAAATTACAAATCTTCAAGATTGTGCCATGCTTCCTGGAGCAATAAGAAGCATTTGAAAAAAGGAACTCACAAACCATATACATGATGTTTCAACTTGTTTATATAAATAAGCTGAAATAGATGCTCTAAGAGAATAAACACATACATACATTTTTCATTAAAGTTTCAAATGTTATGTGTCAGCTTGTGGCTGATTAGATCCAAAAAGCATGGCTTTTAATTAAGCAAAACTAATTAAGCAAAACTAGATGTCGAGGCATGAAGAAAGCCACAAATATAAAATGTCTGCATGCTTCACTGTTGGCCTTGAACGAATGGTGCTGCACACCTGCTCTGCCTCACTGTGACAGTTTGTTGTCAATTCATTCATTTAAAGGAGTACTGACATGATTTGAAGACATAGCAAAAGGGATAGTTCTTGTTTCCTTCGTATGCTGCGTCAACACTTTCTACACACCCCAGTCAGGCAACACATATAAGATATCTTGTTTCAATTTTAATGTTTTCGTCGCATCTCTACACCATGTTTTAATGTTTTCGTCGCATCTCTACACCATGTCTTTTTTTTTGTTAGAGCAACAATCCAAAATTTTTAAATTCATGTTGGAACTCCTGTACAAGAAGTACCGGCACAAATTTCAGAAACCTTCATATTGTTGCTCTAAACGAAAGTCTGTTGTCGAAAGGCCTAACCAAAAAAGTATCGTATATTTTAAATTCTAGTAACAAAAACACAATTTTGACTTGGATATAGAGGGGATAACTTCACTGTGACATGTGAGTGCACTGGGATTCAGGTTTAAGCCATGTGGGTACAGTAACTTGTTATGTACTTGCAGCGGCTCTGTCGTCTGCTGTCACTTACATGAAGTGCAAGTGAACAATGATGAGTGAATTGTTGATAGCGATTTCATCGATTTCATCGATAGCGATTTCATCGATTTCATCGAACCAACCCAGTGAACTGCCTAGACATGTTGTGATGATGTTCATTGTGGCTGGGCTGACGTTAAAATCAAATATTTGGCACATGTGTCCAGTGCTTCGAAAGCGTTAGGGCTGCATGCTAAGAAATGAAAAGTGCCCCTAGGGCCACAAAATTGCATACACTCCTTGATGAAGATGCTTCTTCTCATGTGGTGCATGTGTACCTGCTATCTAAGTGGAGCTATTTTCTTTACACCAGCAAAGAGATTTCCAAAGCCCTGAAGAAGTGTGACAACCCTCAGGCTAAGCTACGCAAGCTCAACGGCGCACTGGTGGAGTTTGCTGAAAAGAAGGGCCACTCACTGCTGGAGTCTTCCAAGGAGCGACCCAAGCCACAGAGCGCTACTTTCCATGGGGCTGGACTGGTGGTTCCCTACGACAGCAAAATGGGCGTCGGCTATCGCAAGTTGCCCCTTTCAGACAGTAGGTGGATTCTTTGCTGTCGCAGTTTTCTTAGTTGAAAACCAAGCAGAGACCAGACTGATTTTATTATTGCAGTCACCATGCTGCTCAAAAAACAAACTTCAAAGTTTGAGATGCACATTCGAAATGCGAAATACAAGATTTGATTACGTTAAATTCTGAAAGCACTTACTGGACTGACATTTTGAATTTAGTTGCATGGTGTGGTTGTGAGTCAAAATTCTGTGTTGTGTTGGTAATCCACTTTCACTGAGTGGAATGACTGGCAACTTCTTTTAATGTACCACAGAGAAACTTGCCTTCACCGTATTTCACTTTACAGCTGATCTAAAGAAACTTCTGGCTAAATTCTCCGATGACCGTGAGGAAGGAGCTCACAAAGACAGACTGCAGGAACTTGTGACATGGATCCACATTGCCAATGACGAATGCGACTATGGCATGGGTCTCGAGTTCAGCATTGCCCTCTTCTGTGCCGGCCATGCCAGTCTTCACCCCAGCGTCAACATGTTGGGTGGACTTGCCTATAAGCTTCTCAGGCGTGAACCATTTGCTCGCATTCTTAGTGCCCACCTGAAGCGACGAAATAAATCCCCATATGTTCTTGGCTAAAGCAATTGTGACTCCAGCTGTTTAATGAGATCGTCAAAATGTAGTTCAGCTGATGCATGTTTATAACTGTACCCCTGTGCTTTCAAGCAGAAGGGAGAAGAGAAAGGCCGTTTTGGCCTGCCTGTAATTCACTAGAGGAAACTGTGATCGTTCGGCCACCATGGAAATGCAGGCTTTGAGCATACTTGTGGCTTTGTTTATGCTGTGTTTTTTCGAGTGAAAGAATGCACTGTTGTGAAGCCTACAAAATCAAGGTGAAGCATAACTGCTTGACTTTTGGTGAACTTGGTCTTGCGGCAAAGCGGATTCAGGCCAGATGAAGCCGAAAAAACTAAGATTAGACAAATTCATGTACTACCCTCATTCCTATGCTCGCTAAAGCTCCGTGTGTTGCAGCTCCCATAGACACCAGCACCAGAGTTCCCCTTATACCCATGTTACACAGGCAAGCTAAGCGCGGTTACAACCAACCACAGTTAACATGTTGAACTGCGGTTAGTGCCAACCATGGTTTGCTGATGTTACACAGCTTCTATAGAGCAGGAAACGCTGCGTTTCCCACGACGGAAAAACGCCACGCGCCCTCGCAGCATGCACTCATTGGTGGTGAGCGCCGTCATTTTCTCGATTATATGCCAAATTGAGGTTGCCGAGCTCGGTTTCTTAAAACCGTGGTTAGCGTAACCGCAGTTTAGGCTGCCTGTGTAACAAGAGTATTAGAGCACTTACAGTAAACCATGGTTTTAGCAAACCTGCTCACCACATTGTATAAACCAGATAATGGTTGTAATTTGTTATGTGCTAGCTAAAAGTTTCTGCTTGATGTCTTTTCTTTGATGTCACTCCAGTACCAATTATTTGTGCCAGCATAACAGTCATCGAATTACCACTTTTATTACTAATTTTTGTTCAATTTTTTACTTTCCTCTTAGTATTGTTAAGAAATTGGCAGCAGGAAAAAATGGAAGCTTGCGACGACTACAGAGATGAACGTAATAAGTGATTTAATTTGTAACATCTTTTGAACTTTGGGTCAGGAATGCAGACATCAAAGCTCATCGTATTTTGCAACTATCAAGCCATGGGAAATTTAAAGGGGGCCCTGCAGCACTTTCTGAGCATGGTCAGAAAGCGCAGCCGATCGGTAGTAGAGGCTCCCGACAACACCCGAACCAAATATTATACCACAGCATGCGGCGTGGAATTCACAATAAGTTATCAAGAACAGCTAAATGTTGCTTTCTGTTCTCTCGACAAATCACGCAAGACGCTCAAAAATAACTCGTAGCAAGCCCATCTATCAGCCATTGGCTGATTCGAACATGGCGCTTGGTCGTTACAGAGATCGCCGCAAAAGGCCCCGACTTGTCCACGTGTGTGCGTGCTATCACACTGAAAAATCTACGCATTTGAAGAAAAAAAGAAAGAAGAATGTGCTCAAAGTCACGAGGCGCGCATGACATCTTTCTTTGCCCCTGCCATCACTACCTGCTTAGCTTCCAGCGCTTTCGTTAGGACGAAAGAAGAGAGAATGCGATTGCAGCATGCGACAATCTCTGTAACTACAGTTGAATTGGATGAATTTTTAAAATTTTTGTGGTGTTGAATTTGTTAGGCAATAAACTCTTCCAGTGAATTTATTCTATGGTTACTTGAAAAAGTGTTTCAGGGCACCTTTAAACACTATTGTGGTATCTCTGCAAGCACTGTGTAGTTAACAACAAAACCCGTTTTCAAAGCGAAGAACAAGCTTGTGTCCTTACATCAGTAGGCAGCTTTATAGGATAGTTAAATGGACAGCAATAAGAGGTTGATTTTATTATTCTTTTTGCAGAATTACTTCTGCTGTGCAACAAGGTTCTGTTCTCAGCCTTCCTTCAGTTTTAATCTGGAAAGACAACCTGGCGAGTGTAGTTGAGTCATCTGTGAGGCTATCTGCTGACTGCATGATTTGCCACATAATATCATCTTGGGAGCACTTGAGTCCACAGGTCGGCAAACTCACTCATGAGTCGACTCGCTCAGACTCAAACCGAGCCATGAGTTTGAGTATGAGCGGAGTAATGTTTCGGTGAGTTTGAGTCCAAGTGAGCCTGGTGGAAGATAATTTTCATAACTAGAAGTCCGACTGAAGAAGAATGGCGATTTGGGCTAGTTGGTTTGAATTCATGATAATAAGAGTTGCAGCACGAGCACGAATGTGCTAGAAGAAACAGACGAAAGTCGAGATACGGAAGGCAAAGAGAACAACACGAGCGCTGACTACCAACTGAATTTTATTATTCGCAGCACACATGATAATATATACAACAGGCAACCTTTGAACAGCACACATGAACAACGTGACATATTCTGGGGAATGTTCTGATAAAAGGAGGTACAAAAATGGCTAACCCTTATCTAAAAGCGCAAACTCTTTATCATGCAAGGCCACCGAAAGTTGGCTCACGCATCCGTCACCATTTTTTCTAATAAAATACGCTTCAGCTATTTCCTGAGTTAACTTGTCCATGTGGCGTGCCAGCACACTCACGCCCGGAAATCGAACTGGCACCCGCAGCTTTTGCAGTGCAAAACAAGGTTTGAACTGATTCCTTTACATATATCATTCATATGTTCTCCTAACCTTTTATTAATGCACCGCCCAGTTTGGCCTATATAACAACGACCGCACGTTAAAGGAATCATGTAAACAACACCAACTGCACAATCTACAAATTTATTTATGTTATTTATACATGGTAATGCTCATTCAGGCACCAGCCCATTCGCCCAACATACATCTTGCCTTATGACAACGGGAGCAAATAAACGACGGCTATCACACATGCTACGAATAACCTTCTATGTTTGATTGAGCAGCAGCTCCTTAGTGCGGACTGCACATTCACCTGTTTGCAGAGTGCTTAAAGCTTTTCTGGGGCAGAGAAAACCACCTTCACATCTACCTTATCACCCATCTTTTTCAAATTGTGAGAAATCTTATGTAGATAGGGAATCACAGCCACATGCTTTAAGTTACTAGCCACGCAGTTCACTGGTGCTTCTCGTCCCTGTTGATTTGTCCTAAACATCTTTTCCACCACCGAAACGAGCACATGATCAGAAAAACCAGCGCTGATCAGACGGGAAGCCTGCTCAACGAAGCTGCTGATTAATTAGTGGCCGCAAGACTTTCAGAAAGCATTTCTTAATGATTTGCAATCCCTCTCTTTATGAGCTTTGAATGAGCCGACAAGTATGGTAGAAGAGGTTTGCTTCCTCTAAGCTCACATTTTCAGCAAAGGTGATCACTTGAGATGTTTAATCTCAAATCTAAAAACCTCAACGAAGCATTTTGCAGAAGCTCATGCGTCTGAATAAGAGGTGCCATGCGCTCATCGAAAGGACGTAATATGTTAGAAACGGCAGTTTAAAAGCCCCGATCATCGCAGTATAAAAGCACAAGGAAATCGTCAACAAAACGAAACACCTTTACGACAGCCGTTTTGTCGAAGCGGCTAGCCAAGAGTCGGTCATAGTGAGCGAGAAAAATGTCACCTAAAACAGGTGCCATGCATGAACCGATGCACACTCCTCTTTTTTGAACAAAAATGCCTTCATTCTATGATACAAACATTGTCTTTAGGTAAAAGCCAACGAGCTCAAGAAAGCCATTGACTGTTATGCCCGCAGCATTCTGGAATGCAACTGAACCGAATTTGTCAATGCGGTCCTCAACGCACCATAGTAGCGCGTCATGTGGTAAAGAGTAGTAAAGATTCTTGATGTCAACGGAGCAAGCACGTAAGCCATTGTTGTTACTTGACAGAAATGAGATGATGTCATTAGAATCTTTCACCAGAAAAGGGTCGTCGATGGTCAGCAAGTTTAGCTTATCTTGTAAAAACAAGGCCACTTTCTTCTGCCACGTCCCATTTTCCGAAACAATGACTCGAAGCAGCCAGTCTACTTTGTGAGTCTTGACCGTTAAGAATAAATCCAAGCTAAGCTTCTTGCTTCTGTCAATGGATCTTGCAAGCTTACTTATTTTCAGCGCGTTGCACAACTTCTTGGCTTCAGTTTTTACTTTTGTCAGCGTTGAGTCTCTTCGCCATTCGAACACGGAACTTATAGCATTGCTGGCTTTTGAGCGAAGCACTTCATTCGGCAACACAGCAAAACCCCCACCCTTATCTGCGGTCAACAAGGTTAGTGAATTCTCTTTGAAAAACGTGACAACACGGTGAAAAGGCAGGTTATTGGGGTCAGGTGTAGACTGCGACAGAACCTGATTCCCAATCACTAACTAGCCCAAGCATCTGTCTTATCATGTTAACACCCCCTGTAAAGTTGTTTGCGCCATGTGCCGCACGTTTCGGGTTGACAAGAAGCCACATTTTGGGTTGCCAACTATTGAGCAGTTGGTGGCGTTGTGCTCGCAAGCGTTTGTTACTGCCACCACAATCATCATCATGGTTAGAACAGTGGCGTTGGCAGTAGTGATGCCTGGCGGAAAGCCTGGGTGGCGGCACACGAGAAAGATAAGCGGGTCTCTTTTACCGGTGGTGGTTGGCGCAAATGGTTGTCTCTAGCAAGGGTCCCCGGTGCATGGCACCGCGGGATGCGCGCCGGGGGCTTTCGTGGTAAGTCAAGCGTTGGCGACGCCGTCTTGGGTGTGTTATTGTGTTTGTTATGTTGTTGAGTGTTATGTAATTTTGTGTAAGGCTGGTTTAGCGTGTTGATACCCATTGACGTTATAATAATTCGATATTGTCGATTTAAAAGCAGTTAAATAAATACGTGTTGTTCTAGTTCGTTCCGACAGCGTCTGCTGTGTCCGTGTTTCGAGAGCGTGGCTTTCTCCATATCAAATCCTGGAAGTCGTCAGGGATGAGCGAGAAGGCAGGAGGCTGATTTACGTGGACTAGCTGCGTCTGGTTTCTACGCACAGCACCAGTGTTGGTGTTGACCCAATAAGATCGAGGCTTATCGGCTGGGGCTTGTACTGTCCGTTTGATCTTGA